AATTTCGTCAATACTATCGTGTCATTTTTTTTAATTAGTTTATTCGAGATAAGCTTAAATCATTTTATTTATTTGATCTAATAATTTGGTTGAGAATATAATTGTTAGACGAAAGTTAGGAAATTTTAGATGTCAATCGGATAGGTTTGAATATGTTCGTCTAACAATTCTAGTTAAAATAAAAAGACAAGATTAACACAAGCGTTAAAAATGACATGATCTTGTCCAGACTGTATCCCATCTGCTCAAATGCGTATTAATATAGAGCTATGAAAGTATGCTGCTTAAATAAACAATAATTAACAAGTTCGTATTTATTATTTGAATAAAACTGAAAAATTTGAAACATTCCTATTGATAGTCTTACAATAAAAATTTATTTCCAAAAAATTATAATACATCTTTAAATAAATAATAGGGTAACCTATTTTATACGCAATGTTAAAATACAATATATTAAGTAAAATCACCATTCAGATCAAGAATATACATTATCTTCGCAAATATATTAACACAATTTGTTATCATATTTATAATTCATCAAGAAACATAAGATTTATAGAATAACAGTATCGCTTATTCATCTTTATCGATATGTTGCCCAGGAATTGTCTGACCTTGAGTTGCATCAATAATACCACCTTCAAGTGACAAGACATTTGCTTCTCCACATATTTCTAAAACACGTTCTGCCTCTTCTACTGTCATTGCACCCAGGACCTTGTTAATCTTTGTCAATTCACCGGTTTTTAAAGCTTCCTGGAAATTTTCAGGCAGTTTCAAGAAATTCTGATATTTAGCTTTTTCTTGCTCATCCTCCGAGTTTGCATCAGGAATACGAACATTGAGGGAAGTATTTGGATCGGTAACCTCTATTTGAATTTGCTCCACCTGAGCTTTTTGAGGCCTCTGTGTTTTCTCAGCATTCATTACTTTGCAACGATCACGAATACGTTCATAAGTCTCATTAACATCCTTTAGAAAAACTTCACGTGCTTGTGGATCTGGTGACGTTATTCTGCAAAAAATTGTAAGCATATGAATACTTTAATACAAACAAATTTTAAAAAATTCGGCATTATTCTTTATACCTTCTGAAAAAGAGTGTTACACCATCTTTTCCTAATTTTTGGCAATATTGTAACAACCATCCCTGATGCACACATTGTTTAGCATATTTTTCCTTTCCTTTTAATTGAGCACGGAAAGCCTCACCCAAAATTTGATCAGATATGTTTTGATCTACCACTTCAGGATATGCAGTTATAAATTTGTAACTATCATCATAATTTTTAATAGCTGCGAATTCTTTTGCTAAATCTGAAGTAACTAGTTCTTCATCTTCGTCATCAGCCTCCTCACCATTCTCATCATTCTCAACCGGTTTCTATGCATATGGAATTGATTGTGAATATCATACCAAGACAAATGAAAATGGAAATTATTTTGATTTGCTTGCTTACTTGTTCACCCTCTAGAGGTTTTAACTTAGCATCAGGGTTCAATACTTCAATAGTTTGTTCCTTCTTTTTTTTTGTTTTCGGCGGCTCCGGTTTTTTAACTTTGTTAACAACCTGTTGTGTAACAGTATATTCCAAATTAACAAGTTTACTATTAAGAATAAAATTTACCAATAAAAACATACTTACACTACTATTAACGCCTGTATGCAAATCATCCATGGTGATCTTCTTCTTAGCTTCTAGTTCTTCTTTTTCCAATTCTTTCTTAGCATCCTTTTGTTCTTTGATTAATTTACCATGATGTTCTTTCAACTTTCTTACCAATTCATCACCGACTTCTTCAGGACTTTCATTATCAATTTCACTCTTAATTTTATCGAACAAGATGGCCATCATTTGATCAAAAGTTGGATATTTTGGTCCTTTATTATCCTCTTGATCCATTGACTCATCATCATCATCCTTTTCAACCTTTTCAACCTTTTTAGTTTCATTTTCTAATTTACTGTTAGCTTCGCGTAGATCGTTTATTGATTTTAAAAATGCATCTACGCCATTCTTTTCTATTTGTTTAATCATATCATCGATTCGAGAAAGTAAAACGTCATGTTGATCGATTTTTTGTTTAAGAGCTTGAATTTTTTGACGTCTTTCTTCGCGTTTTTGATGAATATCGGCTTGTTTCCATCTTATAAAAGAAGCTTTATCAACGTTTGGGTGACATTCAAAGTCGTCGTCGTCACTAAGTTCTAGTTTATCCCACTTGCTATAATCGATAGGCATATTTAATATTTAAAACGATTTAAATGATTTAATAATTAATTAATTTAAGAGAAAATAAAAGAACGCAACTGGTTTTTTTGTTTAAATTGAGAGGAAGCAAATTTTTTTTTAAATTTTTTATATCAGCATGGAGTTCTAATTCCGTATTTATAAATGTCGCACAATAAATTTTAAGCCAATAAAATCGCTTTATCAAAAAATCGATTCTGCACTGGAAACATCCAGAAATATTTGGGTACGTACGTATGTATCTACACAAGTCCGTTCAAACCGGACAAATAAAACAATTACCATTTATAAACAATATAACATAAGTTAATATACAGTATATTATCAGTTATACGTATAATTGATGAGAAACTATTACACTAAATCACACCGCTGGTGTTCAACACCACGTTTTTAATAGTTTCGCTAGTAAAATTTAGGGTGCTGTTATAGGTTAAGGTAAGGATTAGTATTAGAGGTTAAAATTTAGATCAATATAAAGTTTTGGGATTTTTATTTAGAACTCTGGCTATTGTGGTGTTTAACATACTGGTGTGATTTAGTAAAGCTGTATATAATTGATAAGAAATATATAATATCTGATATCGATATATTTTTTAGGGTCTTTGCTTTAAAAATCACGTGATTGAGTATGCCCCATAACCTGATTTTCAAGACAAAACCCATTTTATTATTAGACCAGGGTTTGGGATTTGGGCATATATAAACAAAAACTATACCGGGTTTTGGCAAGTAAATGTTTATTTATACATATCGGTATGCATAATTATATGTATATAATACATAATAACTGCAAGTAAATTTGATTTTAACGTAAATTAATTTTATTCATGCCACAATTATAGAGATATAGTATTTTTTTTGTTATATATAAAACCGTTTATGTATTTTATGTATTTTAATAAATTTAAGCAAAATAGATAATAATGGAGACTAAAATTAATCGGCATTTGATAAAACAAGGTTAGAAATTTTACGTATCCAATTCCAACTATGTATCTAGAATATATAAAAAAAAAAAAAACACGAGCCACTTGGAAGTTAGATGGGTCATTTCATGAAATGAAAATTGAGGGACATGGATACATGATGGAGACATTAAATTTCGAGTTCAGTATCGACGATCTGATGTACAAAATGAAAAATATGACAATTAATAACATTAATGTTAATAAAGTAAATATGCAATCAGTGTATTCGTGCTATATAAGTCTAATAGGGGGATAAAGTATTGGCGATTCTTATATGAATAGTATTATATAACATCGCCAATAATTAAATGCATGGACGAATATTTCGGATCGCATTTCTACTTAAAAAGACTAAAGTATCCGATAAACATTACCTCTTCCATCCATGTGTCCATGATCTTCATCATCACGTGCTCTTTTCATACCATGAGTGACTCCATCGTAACCTCTGTGTGGTTTGATTGAAGATCATATGCATCGTAAGAGTCGGAAATTGTTAAGGTCCTCCATAGTGGAAATTGCAGGAAAGCGGTCGAGCATTTAGGAGAAATACCTTTGTCCTCGCGGTGCAACAGGTACGTCTTCGCCGCCAAATCCTTGATCAAAAAATGCTGGATTAAAATGAGGTGCCGGAAATCCTGGGCCCGTCGGTGCTTAAATTAAACATAATGTCAGTTTTCTAATAAAGAAAAAGAAATTTTTTTTTTAATCGCAAATTATACAAATATGCATGCTAAATAATTACTATTAAAACCGCCCATATTAGCACCCATAAATTCGTCACCATATCCTCCGCGCATCACGCCTCGGCCGCCCATTATTCCACGACGAACAGGTCCAACTTGTTGATTTCTCATACCCATCATTCCGCCTCGTGCCATCATTGGACTCATGGCGAAAGATGCATCTCCAGTAGCTGCGAAACCATTCATATATGAACCGCGACCGGCCGCAAACCCGGAATATGCTGGTGCGATTGGAGGAGTGAAAAAGTCTCTTGGCCCAGAAACCATTTGTCCGGTTCTAAATCCACTACGAGGATGGGGATGAAAATCTAGCGACCCTGGTCGCATAACCGGACGAATAGGAAGACCTGATGCTGCTCTTTGTTGTGAAGCAGATTGCTGTTGTTGCATCATCTGACGTGAAGCTTTTGGTGGAGGTTCTGGAATCAGTAATACGTACAGTAAGAGTAAAAATATCAAACATTAAAGTGAAATGATTATGTTTCAAATTTTATAAAAAATGTCGATAACTTACCTTTTGGAACTGTTTTAAACGGATTACCATTAGCCGAGCTTGTAAAATTCACAAGACATTTTTTACCAGTTATTTCACTAAGTTAAAAAGTTGTATTATGTTGTGATATGTTAACTTTTTTTTTGATATAATAAAAGCAAACAGTAAATAACAAGCATTTGATCAAAACTCACACTTCTTCTAATCTGTCTTTAACCTTGCTTGCTGCTTCTGGCGCTGTAAATTCAACATAAGCGACACTATAATTAAAAAA